TGCATTCAATTTCGATTTTTTCCAATTCATTTTTCACCGGTAGGTTCACCCGCTCTTATCTATGGGATTTTAGGGTAATAAAGCGGCGCGCAGTCTGTAGAGGCTCCAGCTAGCAATGTCCCTAACACTAACCAAGGAGGGGTAGTCTACTTAATGTGGGACTTTGAATAAAGACCCAGATAAATCGATAGAGTTTTGAATGCTGTTTACGAAAATAAAAATTAAAACTGCAAAATGCAAAATGGTTTTCCTTAAAAAGTTATAAGGGCCCGAATTCTGCTGGACAGTGGTATTGATTGGATATGCGAACTCGTCGCTTCACTATCAAGCGCCCGCGTGACCTATCGGTATAGGTTTCGTTTGACAGAAAAGTGCTAGAGATGTGTAAGATGCCTGCAAAAACTCAACAATGATGAAAAAACTTTTTAAAAACGCGTGAAGCACACATACAACACGCCTTGTACATGCTGATTCTCTACATCCAGGGACAAAGCAGCCATCGTCTCAAGACGTCTTTTGCAGGCACCTTAGACATCTCTGGTATCTTTCTGTTGAATGTTTCTTGAAGTTTAAAACAAAAAAAGAGTCATACAATTAATGTGCGGAACCACTTTCCTTGGATAGGGGAGAGAAAATAAAGGCAGAAATGAGGCGTTTACTGGAAGAAATGTCAGAAAAGGTTTAGAGAGCTTTTAACGAAATGAAAAAAACGTTGCAAAAATGCCGTCGATGTCGAGGAGCAAACCCTCATATTACGGAATTCGAGCCCTCATAACTTTTTTAGGGAAATCATTTTGCAGTTCTAATTTCCATTTTTGTAAACAGCATTCAAAACTCTATCGATTTATCTGGGTCTTCATTCGAAGTCCCACATTAAGTAGACTACCCCTCCCTTGTAAGACTTCCTGACCGATTGAGTTTCATCAACCCCAGAACAACAAGTTGTTATCTCACATGAATATAATCAATGAACTAATGAATGTTTTCAGAACTACATTGCATGTTGACCACTTGGGAGGACCTGGGAAAACCTATGACATTTGCGGCTCGGACTGTGCCAAACAAGCTGTAAGCTATAAAGTCGAAAACGACCATCGGAAACATGCGCGACGTGCAGCACGAGAAGCCGTTGAGAAGTCGACAAGCATCGATAGAAAACCCTCATCACCTCCTTGTGTCCATGACCACTAAAAACTTATTGAGAGCAGAAGGCTCTATTTCTGGAAACCTCGAAGATATGGAAAAGAAATTTTAAGGGGCAATATCCTGAGAAAATGAAGAACATACCGGGTACGAGGTCATTTGAAGATAGCAGTGATGCGTTTGAAACGAAAGAGTAGGAAGACCTCGAATCGGAAACGACACAGGTGAATATACAGATGAAAAGAAGTAAAGCACTCGAACCACATCAGAAACGAGCAGAACATTCAACGTGGCGTACAGGAACTCCTCACACGGCTGTTGCTGAATATAAATATTTACAGAAATACTTCTTCGGGAACTAGTCCAAAGATCGGCTAGGCTCGTATAACTGGGTAATATTTCAGTTTACAAAGAGAAACCACGAAAAGTTTTCGCTAACGATCTCCTAATAATGTTTTATAGTTTTTAAGTAGTAGTTTTCAAGATACTCTCACCGTTATCCTTCATCGCAACTGTAGGACTCTCTTTGAACACCAGTAGAGTGCAAGCTGATTTCTGTGGAGGATTTCCACCTTCGATCAAATCCACGTAGTTTCGCAACTCACTGAAAGATGTCGAGAATACCAAACCTCGATCTGTAATTTTTCACCAACTTCAAGAAACATTCGAGAGAGTTGACATCAATTGGTTCCAAATGGCTCAATAAGTTCGCAAATCCTCGAAGATTTGCCGAAATAATATGAAAAGCAGCACCAGATGATGATTCAGATGCTACACCGAAGTATACGATCTGTCTTGAGATCCAACGTGGGGAACGAAAAGGTGGCTTATCTCTCCAAACCTATTATCTGCTGCTTTAAATTTTACAGAGACGGCTCTTATCCAAAGGAATACAATTTTTGCTACTGCGATGGTGTAAGAACTGAAGATTCAGTTGACTCACCCACTCAGTGCTCTCTCCCTCTCAAGACTGTCTTAAAAACCATAGTTGTTCGGATAAGGAAAGTTCATGAGCACTACTATGAGCTCGCGATGACGGTCACACCTTCTTTGCGCTTCAGCGCTCAGTGCTAGAAAATGCGCCTTCTCCCCTCCAAACGAAGATTCAGTATGGACACTTGACTCTTGCGGTAACTCCTAGCTTCCCCAACGCCCACCCCGTCTCCTTGCCCAAGGCCACTTTTTGTCGCCTCGTATATGTGTCGGATGAGAATTTGCATATTAAAATGGGTTACGCCGTGCCGGATTACTGTAAGAGCTGGCTGCCTATACTGAATTTTCGGCACTATTTACCCTTTACTGCCCCACCTTGTCGAGAATGGGCCGGATTTCTACCGAATTTTTTCAAAGAAGATGAAACCGGCTAGAAACTTGGCTACGGAGGTAATTTGACCCGTAGAACACGAATATTGTAGTCATTTATCATAAAGATGCCTAGCGCTTGCGCTACAGGCGCCTGCGCCAAATCACTGGGTCATCGATCCTGCTGAAAACTTGCCCCTAACTAGTGTCCAAGGCATTTTCATGATAAGTGGATGCGATATTCGTGTTCTACGGGTCAAATCACACCTCTAGGCAAGTTTCTAGCCGCTTTCATCTTCTTCGAAAAAATTTCATAGAAATCCACCCTTTTTTCGACAGAGTGGGGCAGTAAAGGGTAAATAGTGCCCGTGAATGTGTTACACAGTAACCCGAACACATACTCAAGCGCTTCCAAACAACCGCCACATACACGACGCAACATAAAGGTACCTCGGGTGAAGCCGACCGGGGTCTGTGGTGGTGCACAAACGGGTTACTGTATCATACGTTCACAGGACATTAGAATCCCTCTAATCATGTTCGCGTATGGTACACATTGTTAGGATCCTTATGCTCTTGAAATTTGCATTACTAATCTGAGCAGCACCTCCATCGGACAGATAACTCATCCTAGCAAAACTAAATTGATGAATAACAGATTTACGGGGATTATTGCTTGTGTATGGAAGGCTCAGTTGATGAAAGACTCTTCATATATTTAAATCATACTTAGAGTAGGCAATCACAATGGACAGTGATCTCGATATCAAGATTGATGTGACACAGGATGGCAGGACGCCGTGTTCATTAAGTGTTGACGCTCTCACCCGTGAGCGAATTGACCCTAAAATCAGTACTCAAGTGCAAAATAGAGTGTTTTTCAGCACTATCATCTGAAAGTGAAACTTGTAGCGCTTAAACCTGTGGAAGAAAAAAGATTGCTCATTATGCAAACGGTAGTGGAACGAGCAATGTGGAGAGTGTAGGCGATACAACAATCCAAGCTGGTGATTCGAAAACTATATGGTGTCAAAAATGTTATTGAAGCAAGATATGACTGAAGCGTTGGGCTGAACGTATCGCTCTTCTTACCAGGGAGGGGTAGTCTACTTATCTTGGGACTTTGAATTCAGACCCAGATAAATCGATAGAGTCTGAATGCTATTTACGATAATGGAAATTAAAACTGCAAAATAGTTCTCCTCAAAAAGTTGTGGGGGCTTGAATTTTGCTCGACAGCAGTATCAATTGGAAATGCGAACTCGTCGCGTCCATGTCAAAAGCCCACGTGACCTAGTGGTAGTGGTCCCGCTTCGTGGGCGTAAAATGAGGGGTCTCTCCCCGCCATTGTCCGCACTTTTGCAAAGTGTTTTTTCAATTTATCAAAGGCTCTCTAAACGTTTTCTGGCATTTCTTTAGACAATTGATACTACTGTCGAGCAAAATTCGGGCCCCCATAATTTTTTAAGGAGAATCATTTTGCAGTTTTGATTTCCATTTTCGTAAACAGCATTCAAAACNCAAGCCCCCACAACTTTTTGAGGAGAACTATTTTGCAGTTTTAATTTCCATTATCGTAAATAGCATTCAGACTCTATCGATTTATCTGGGTCTGAATTCAAAGTTCCAAGATAAGTAGACTACCCCTCCCTGGTTAGCGATAACAGATGGAATTCTCGGGTGACCGAATGATATCCCCGCGATGTGAAAAGACCGCAGGCGAGACTCCCAGGCGATGGGATGTTTTATTAAGTTATTTAGACAGAGACTGCGACAAGTTCAAAGAAATTAAAGCAGATATAAATGCGTTTTCCAAGGCTGATGCAACTATCATTCTTGAATAGCGGACTTCATGTATACAAGGCACGGTATGGATAAATGAGAACTGGAACAGTATAAAGAAGCTAAACGGCGAAATTCGGTAAAGTTCTTGTACATCACAAAATTCACAGATTGGTAAAAGTACAAGGTGATTTTGGACGTAAGGGCTGCATGTGGGCTTCATGTAGGAAAGTGTTCACTGTTAAGTAACCTCGCCTAATCCTCGATATAAAGTGCTCCAGCACATAAGCCGTAACGCGACCGCTTTCAGACGGGCGATGTCATATTTACCCCTTGTATTTATGCGTTGCCCTATCACACCTTTTTTATTTCACAGATTGGTGACTCACGCAGGACAGAAATCGTTACGAAATAGATCGTACCCTCTATCACATCACTCTCTAACTGTCATAGCTCCGTGGTCTCACTTTTTGATGTTTTCAGTTTTTTACTTGATCTTCTGAAACGAAGATGGCACACTGGTTTCATCGTAATCCTATGAAGCCTACGGCTCCCGTAAAATTCGAGCTGAAAGGCATACTCACTTCCGAAGCTTCTTCAAAAATATGCAGGTACGTTGGTATCATCAAGTGCTTCCCTTTTCATACTTTTATTTTCACCATCATTCAAGTACTCTCGAAGTGATATCGTTCAAGGGTGTAGGTTATCGTAGACAACCACGTCAGCAGCTTCGGTGATTTGTTGCTGTTCTAATAGGAAAAAGAATTGATGCCGTGAAGTTACAGCATTCAAACGGTAGCTCACCCTAATCTATTGGCCAGTCTACATGAGTAATACTAGCTCCAAAATTACTATTGATGTGCTCAATGGCATAAAAGAGACCTGAGTCCAACGCGTTTGTTGGTTTTAACTCAGCACAGTCATATGGTCACTGGTTCGGAATAGAGCATCTAACGCGCGTTACGCTCTTAGATCGTCAACTGTTACCGCATGGGTAGATGAATGATATTTTTTAGTTGGACTTCTAACCGCTTTTTCGGATCTCTTTAATTCATCGAGTTATTTCGTAAAGGAACTTTATCTTAAAGAAAAAGCCGTAAGTAGCCCTGCTAAAAAAACAAAACAAAATGTTTAAACGCAGACGGCGCTTAGGGGGAAAGCCGCACTACATCCACACGCCCTGATTTCTTGCCCAGGGTACAAGAATGGAAATGTGCTATTTGCTCGGGTTTATACTCAATTGCATAATTTGCCTGCTGTCAAAGAAATAAGTTTGCTACCGTCTACACCTTTCATTTCTCAAAATTGAATTCACTCAATTATTTTGTTATAAGAATCACGGCTTTGAATGAGAACACAAGCTAAATTCGTGCTTCCGCCATTCTATAGTGCTATGTATAACGTGCTAAGTGTATATATTGATTTGTCCGTGTGCTGTGTGTGTATGTGTATGCGTATGCGTGTAAGTAAGTAAGTAGGTATATATGTACACTGGTGTGCAAAACTTAGGGACGAAAGCAACTTTCGATCACTGAACCTCTGCCAGACGACAGAGCTCGATGAAATTTATACCGTACCAATAGAGGATCATTACGGTATTGCACAGGAAGTAACTCGCAGAAAATCGAAATAGGACTAGCAAATAAGGCACTTTTATTGAAAGGTATCGATTACACATAGTTCCTCACAACTTATCTTAGTACTTCAAAAAAAGCGACGCGGTTCCTAACAGGGTATGTGATCACCACGGACAGCTGTAAATGCTCTGCAATGCGATCCCATACTTTCTACGAGGTTGGAAATGAGTTATTGTGGTAGGGCATTCCACTCCCCTATCAGCGCAACTGACAGTTACTGGATGGTCAGTGCTGCGTTTGGACGTGCTGTAATGCCTCTACCCAGTGCATCCTACACGTGCTCTATGGGATTCAGGTCGGGGGCACGGACAGGCCACTCCATTCGCTGGATAACCTCTTGTGTAAGAGCTTCTCCACCTGAGATGTTCGATGCGGTTGCGCATTGTTATCCATGAAAATGAATTCAGGGCTCACTGCAGCCCTGAAAGGATAGACATTAGGGAGGGGTTCCCTTTCACAGTAACGCCGACTGTTAAGGGTGCCACGCTCAAAAATCTGGAGGTCAGTACGGTTACGAAGCATGATGCCTCCACATACCATAACACCTCGACCACCAGAACGATCAAGTTCCACAACGTTTCTGAGGGAAGTGTGTGTCCCCAGCTCCGGCCATGAGGGTGCGTCCAGAATCACTGCTCAGACTGAAGCTGCTCTCATCCGAAAAAAGCAAGCGGCCTCATTTCTCATCGGCCCGTTCGCTATGCTCCTGGCACCACTCTAAACCGTCTCGCCGATTCGCGAGGGTCAAAGGAACCCTACGTAGTAGTCGTCGGGCGAAGAGACCACCACCGTGCAGTCGTCGTGCCACTGTAGTGCGTGGGATTGCTTGCTTTGAAATCCTGTTAAATGACATTGCAATCAAAGAGGCTGACTGACGTGGATCTCTTCTTGCCTACTGCACAATGTCGCGGTCTTACCCTAGAGTAGTTGTTCTTGGTCGACCTCCTCCTCTCCTTCATGCAGCAGTATAAGAGGTTCGGAATGCTCCCCGTGCATGTGAAACAACGCTGTGAGAGATATCAGGTTCCTCAGCTGCGTTCCTCATGGTTCGACCTTTTTCGAGTTTCCCAATGATCCTTCCTCGTGCCAGGTTATCCAGACGATGTCAGCGGGATATGATGTATAGAAGGATAACACCACAGTACTTGGTAGCTACTAGATGATTGACAAAAAAAAATTTTTTTTTGTACCTAACAGTTCCCTCGATTTGTGGTGGTAGACATATTTCTCGCTTTATTTGAACTATTCCTCCACCAAGGGATGTCCAACTCCCTATGCATAACGGTCATAGGTCTGGCAATGTAATCCCACACTTTCATTTATTTCCACCCAGTCCTCAATGTTTTATGTTACATTATCCATCTCGTCCCTAAGTTTTGCACACCAGTGTATGTATGCGTGTATATGTGTGTATGTATGTATGTATGTGTTCGACCGGGAATTAACTCCGGTTACCGTGGACCTAGACAGTATGAATTAAGCCGAGTACAAGCGGCAGGATAGGAGCTATAGTAGGAGGCAGGACTAGATCGTCAAGTGGGGGCGGGCTTCCGCAAAAATGTGGAAATGGACTTAGAGGATGACAGGTGACAAGACTAACCCGCCCACAAGGGGCGTGGCGTGAGCAGAAATATCTAGTTGAACGCTCAAGGCAATATTTTCGAAATAAACAGCAACAGGTCGAGACTTTCAAGGCATAGGCATAGACTTTGGTACATTATGAAAACCACTTGCATGCCCTGTCAGTCCTCTGTCTAGTTTCGTGTTCCGGAAAGTATCAGTTGCTAAAAAGAGGGCGATTGCCGATTATCTCAACTTTATCATAAGAAGGAGGGAAGCCAGGAGTTAGCTGGGTGACCCGACTGGTTTTCAAGTAACGAAGGGGGCTTGGTAATTGCAGTGAGAATATTGGTGCTGACTCCTGCCTGGAAAACCAAAGATTGATCAATCGGCATTATAATTGCTTCAAAGGATAAGTACAGAAATCGAAAGTCTTTCTGCAAATTACTTGAATTAATTTTGCTTGTAGTAGCACAACTGATATGCTGAAAGTGTGTAAGCGGCGCATCCTGAAATGGACTTAATCAATAACAGTGGCTTTGATGCTACATTCGTATAGCCTGGTACGCACGATATATTCTTCATAACTCGAGTTGCACTGTAAGAATTATTTGCGAACAGTTGGTGAGGCATAACAATATGTGGTTCATCAGATATTCAGTGGTGGTGTGCATGTACGGTGCAAATCCATGATCATTATCGCAATAATCTAATACTTCTGTCCTGCGCTCTGTTCTGTTTGTAGTATTAGCATGCACATAAGAGATAGATGCTGGAGGTACTGTTTGATGACTGCAAGGTCGAAGAAGAGGAGGAGGGGAAGAGCGTACGGTCCATGTTATCGCAGTATAGGAACATCGCTGTTATAAGCGCAGGTCCTTGTTCTTACTTCCATTAATAGGGCCTCACATGCGAGCAGGCAGGTACAACGTGCATCCTCTGCCTTCATTATCATACCACGAACGATGAACTTCGGGGCGGGCTACCGTTTATAGTTTTTTGGTTTGATTAGCTTTGTTTTGCATGTTTTTTTTCAGAGATTTTGTTTGTTCTTTTTGTAATTTCTAGATGATCGCTAGGCTATTTGATCGCCACTAACAATAATTATTTGTACTCATTCTCACAATCGAGGGATTTTCTAGATAGCGAAGCTTTTCAATTACTAATGCCTTGAAAACAACAATTCATATCGAACAGTTCTCATGTTGACGGTGCTGAAAAGAGTTTCCATGTCAGTTAAAATATTTTTCAGACCTGTAACTAAAAGGTGAACTTATGCCAATGGTGGATATAATAGAAATCAGAAGTCGAAAACCGCTTATATTGCTTTGTTTCTAAAACTTCTATAGCTTCACATCTTTCAGTGAACTAAGGCTGCGGAGGGAGAAGTTGCTGAAACACTTCACGAATGCAGGAAACGATCTTTCTGAGGTCGACAAGGACTTTAATGACTACCTTCGTCTTTTCGCGGGCTTTCTTGTGCAAATCGATAAAAATATGGCAGGCGCGGGTGAGTTAACAATTAAGAGTTAGTTAGAAGTGCAATCTCCTTACATTAAAAAAAAAGCGTCGATAGCGTAGGATAGAAGATGGTAGGACACTTGGTGCATACTCTTGAATGACGCATTGTTGCCACGTGTCAGGCAAGTATAACAGAAAATTAATAAAAGGTCTAGCATATTGTAGTGGGGACACAACAGTACTCACGTGACGTAGCGGTGTTGACTTCTTCCATACACCTTATCGAGACAACACGAGACAGCAATGGCTGCCTCCAGAGTCCGCTGGTAGGCCTTCCGAGCGCGCGCGCCGGCCGGCGGCGGCGCTAGCCACTTGTTGGCAACACTGAACGCCGATGGATCACCTGCCAGTGTTGCCAATAAGTGGCTAGCGCCTCCGCCGGCCGGCGCGCGCGCTCGCGAGGCCCATCGGCGAACTCTAAAAGCAGCCTATGGCAGAGAGTGGGTGCCTTCGTACTAGGTACAGTGGACGGCACCCGGTGCTCGCCATCCACTTACTTGTGCTTGATCCCTTCTGAAGAATCAGACGACGCATTCAACACCCGTTCAAGAGCGAACCACAGCTCGAATAAGGGACTCGCCCAGGTTCATTCCTCAATTAGCAGACTGTTTTATGCGAACAAAGATTATGATATAGCGAAAACTATCAAATATTGTCCAAGGAGCGAGCATTAAATTGCCATTGTCTTGATGTAGGTGTATCCTTGAAGTACGGCGCACTTTATTTGGTTGCTTCTTTAGTTAACTAATGCTGTTTGTAGGAGACGATTCATCGAAAGGGACCAGTAAACTCGCACCAGTGCAACGATATCAATGGGGACATTCTATGCTAGGGACCTTTGCCACGTTAGTATCATTGACCGTATTCAAACAATTGTTACTCGAAAAAAAAATGCTAATCTGACGTGTGGGCTTTTAATTTTTTACCACTGTATTTTACCACCTACTTAGTTTAACAAGATTAACATCTTGCCGATCAGAGGAAGTTCGTTAAGGCTTCGTAGCTTGCACCGTACGACGCCATTTTGTCATGATACTTACTTCATAAATTTTGTTGAAAAATCAAAGAAAACTACCGTCCGTGTTGTTTGGCTCCCTCATGCCATACGCGCTTTGTTCGAAAACCTACCAGTAGAGTAACGTATGGTATCGAAAAGATTTGATGAGGTAGTTAATGCAGAATGCCGAATTCAAAAACTGGTTTTAAGTGATTAGGCGTCAAAAAAGATTGTCAGTGCGCACGGTCAGCCCTTTTCTATCTATCAAGTCTCTGCAGAATTAGTAGTTTTTTTTTTATTAGAAGGTTTCTATCTCATTATGCGGTACAATTAAGAAACGGTAGGTTCTGAGTAAGATGGTATAGCGATGAGCAGTATAAATCTCTTTGAAAGTTATTCAGTTTAAATACAATAGTCCGATATCGCAATCTTCAGAGAAATGTCGGATTCGTGGTTTGAGGCATTGAATTTGATAGACTGTATGGCAATGTGGCTATCTAAGCACGCGGCGTGGGTCGCCGGCAAAGATGAGGTGATATTTCTCATTCGCTTTAAATGCTCTCTCCTTTCATAGGGTCAGAACTCAGGTGAGAGATTACGAAGCAAAAGAGTGTCTCACTTGTCTACGTCGAGCAGCAGGAATGTTCTCTTACGTCAAAGAACAACTAGGCAAGTTCAAATTCTTGTCGCGTATCAAAGCAGAATATTTGCGCAATGTCGGCAGCTTTGATTCGGAACCTTTCAGGTCGGCTTTCTGGCAGTGGTGATTTCGAAGGTTCCGATTTCGATCCAAAAGTTGCAAGAGCTTATGAGCAACAGGTGCTTAGGTTCTATTTGTAACAAACATTTCCTTTCCTGCAGGAAGTTAATAGGCCAACGCATCACTTACGATCGGGTTTCCTTCGGTGTTAGTGTTTTGGAGTTTTGAGCTCAAATCTGCTCGAAATATGCGGAACGATTTTTTAAAAAAGTAACTGTTCTATGAATATTGATAGCATCCAATTTCCTCATACCCGCGTAAATATCATTGGAGGAAACCCTGTAGGGCATTTGTTCTGCGATAGAACGTAATGAACGCGTATGTGGGCGAAAAAGGTGATGAAAAAAGTAGCACTTAGAGACTAAAACCACTAAAGACTTAGACTTAGCACTCAGAGACACCACCTTTTACGGCCACATACACATACATATTACGTTTCTGGGCATACCTTAGAGTGGATTGATTGACGTTTAAAGACTTTATCCTTTATCCTTAATCGTCAAGTTCTAGATGCATATCAATCTTGTTGGTCAAATCTATACGCGCTAATGAGCTGCAAGGCGTTATTTGAATGGTTCATGGTTTTTCCAGTCTATTATGGAACCATGTTCCCTGGAGTGTTTATGTAACAACACCTCTAAATGAAAATTCTTGAGAGTTTACTCTGAAGTGAAGATTTGCGAGATTCAGAATGTTTCCCCCTGTCGTATGGGAAGGTTATGGCAAAATCATCTATGAGAGTAAGAAATGGCCTAGAGTTTGTATGAGCGACGTCACGCACAAATTGCTAATCCGAAATATCTGAACTAATCAATGTTGTTAAAGATCATTTTGACCAAACTTTTCCCGTCATTTCTCTCGCATTCTGATCCAGTAAACGTGTGTGTAAAATGAGAGCAACGACAAATTTCTGCTCAACACAGTGAAGGAAAAGAAATAAATATTACACGAGGGCTCACTCAGGTCAGGCTCGTTGTTCTTGTTTATTCACTTCTTTTCTATCGGCTTATTTTTTCGGTGCTGTCATGATTCTGAGGAGGATAAATGCATTTTGATGAAGGAGATTGTTTGGGTGAGCAATCCGGAAGAACTCAATACTCCTTCCTCTCCTTGCATAAGCCGGATTTTGATCGATGATTGCGTTCGCTTGCACTATTCTTTTATCCTATGCATGTACTATTTATTCTATTTAGTGGTTGTTTTTGAAACGCGGAATGGCTGAGAAATTGAGTGCCCAAGATTCCGCTGACCACTCAAGGGCGAAGCAAGTCATCCTCGATTCAGAGTTTCTATGAACATTCCAATTTTTGTTCGCCTACTTTTCTTGTTACTATTACTTTTTTTTCTTATGAATTCTCATCCGTTTTGTTAATTCTTTGTTTGAGCGCGTTTGTTGAACCACAGATTAAGCTTTTTTTTCAATACCCGCTCATTTCATAGTTTATTCCTACATTTGTTTGTAGGCCATAGCTGAATCGCAAGAGGTGATCGTTGCTCGTGCGATAGAATTGAGACACAATCCCTTTCTCATTTCGTCACTTGCCGCGTATACCGCCAGCATCTTCGCGAAAGCAGGTTCGTGCATTTGCTGTTGAATTACAATTGTGAATAGTTTGGGACTTCAGGTATAGCAAGGCTTACAAATATTCTTACGAAATTCAAAAAAGAAATAGGAAAACTTACGATGATTTAGGAGAGACTCTGTCATCTCTTAAAGAAGAGATTTTTGGAAGGTGGAGACGCTATCTGCAACTCAAAGAACACTTCTATCTTGCTTATGCTTACGCTTTCCTTGGTGAATCGTTGCTCAAAGAGGATAAATGTGGAGAAGCAGTGAGGTAGTTGTTAACATTTTAGAAAATAATAGAAGCGAAATTCATATTATCAATGTAGAGCTTGCAAGGAGGGTGTTGCGGAATACGAGATCGCTAACGATTTTGCGGCTAAATACAGTACTGCTCCAGGCCCAGGTACCTCATTTCATCCTAAAGAAACCTGATAGAAATATCTTGATGTTTCTTCGCAGGTACACGAATAAAGCCTCAAGAACATCTGTTTTTTCGCAATATCAAGCCTCTCCTGGCCCGCCACCTTGAAAAAGCAGAACGAGAGAATGGATTTATTTACCACCAGCAGGTATCACATCCTTGCTTTTTTTTTTGCACAACTAAGCTATGAGTTTTTACGTTTGCTTTTTTCTACACTTGGGACTCTCGAATATGTTAATCTTGTGCTATAGCTGACGCCGGACTGAGCCTTGATTGTCGCGGGCTCTCTCCTATTCTTATTCTTATGAATACATGGTTGTAACTATTAGAAAATAGGAGCGGGGAAATTGTCTTCTTGACGACCGCGTGGCCCCCCGGTGAGCCACACCATATCGTGCCCCTATAGTATTTTTATTATTTATGAAGTGTTCTTATAATTTTTTCCATGTTTTGAAGTATCAGCTTAGTTCACAACCTTCTAGAGAATCTTGAGGCATCATGGTCCAGGAATCACTCACTTCCAACTACAGCTATAAGAGAAATAAAAGTTAACCAGTCGGGCCGCCCGGCTAACGCCGGGCTTCCCTCCTTCTTTTGGTGACGCCTGGCTTCGCCGGGCGGTCCTACTTCCTGTAAGAAATTTGCTATGCGTAAATAACTCTTCGGATTCTCCTTTTTCCTCGAAAGCTCTACACCCTCAGTATTAGCTCCGGACAGATGGGCCAACCTCCGTGAAATTTTCGTACAATTGGAATAATTTGAACGCCCTATGGTCAAACTGCCAATTTTCGCGCAAAACCCGCCCTTGTGAGCAAGGTCCTTTCCTGCCACCTATACTAAGTGTTCCCAACTTGTCGCCTGAACTCCTACCAAGTTTGAACGCTCTAGGCTAAATTGACAATTCTCGCGCAATCCCCACCCCCTATGGGCGGGGTCTGATCCTGCCATCTACAGTGAGTGTTCCTATCCTGTTCCCATAACTTCTACCAAATTCGAACGTTCTAGGTCCACGGGAACAGAAGTCATGAATTTTCGCTCAAACTCCGCCCAATGGGCGGAGTTTGGTCTTGCCACCCACCATTAGTGTTCCTATCCTACCGCGCGTACTCCTACAAAGTTCGAGAGCCCTAGGGTCACGGGAACAGGAGTTCTGAATTTTCGCTCAAACATTTGTTTCTCACAAAAACCCCGCCCCCTTTGGGCGGAGTCCGGCCCTGCCACGCACTAAGAGTGTTCCCATCCTGTCGCCTGCATTGCTACCAAATTTGAACGCTTTAGACACACACATACACACAAACACCAACAGACACACTTAGCCGATTATATAAGTAGGATGTAAGGACAATGTAAAAAGCGCGGTCGCCAATGGGTTAATCATTACCAGAAATCGTTTAGTGGAGTTTTTACGAGCTTTGCATTTGGAAATGCTGATGACGACCGTCTTTTCAAAATATCTCATTTTTTGAAGTTGTTCAACGATGAAGATTTCACCAAGGTAATGTACTCCTTCGAAAAAACCTTTACAATTGCAAAATTAGAAGATTTTCTAGGGCCACGCTGTACGTAGTTTCATTAAGGCCTGATGTAATGCTCTGAGAAGAATTGAAAGAAAGTGGAAATTGAAATGAGTAAAACAAAAAATACAACTGCAGTTCACGTGTGGACTGCACGGTCGTCAATGGGTTAAAGGGAGAAGCAATCGCAAAAATCTATTGGGAATTTCATCGCTTGGCAACGATACCACTGCATGGCGGTGAAGAACAACAATAAAGGTTTCGTCGAGGACGATTACAAAGCCAGCCGTAGTTGGGTTCAGGGTTCGATGGTCGCATCACCAACTTAGCGTCAGAAAGGGGTTCTCATAATATGTGTTCGTAAACTGATCATCTGCTGTTTCAACAGTAATTTCGTTAAAGCGTCAGTTAACATGCACTAGCGCACTTCTGGGTTTGAAACATAAGACAATGCTATTTCTGAGGAGTGAATTTTCTAAGCCATCTTTAGTTCTCGGGGTAGATGTGCCCCTCCACTCGGTCGGTGAGGGCGGGTGCGCTTCGTTGCGCGTGTCCGTCGAAACTAGGTCACGCCGCAGCCGTCGCACGCGGCGAGTCGGTTCGCGATATTTGACAGACGTCACAATTGTCACTGGGGCATACGCTTTGCGTTTGGTCCACGGCAGTCAGTTCAAGAAGAAGATAACACAGACAAATGCAAATCATTTGCTCCAATGACACTTGGTGGTGCTGAATGTCACCTCGAGACCACAGTGTTATGCGCCGCGCGCGAAGTGGGCGGGGTGACCTACATTCGACGGACACGCGCAACGGACGTTCTCCGGTGAGGGCACAGAGAACTATTCTTGAATAACTGTTTCCATTGTTCTTGAAATAAGAGTTGGGCATTAGATTATCAATATGAGCATTTTGGGAACGATCAGGACACGTTTCATGAAAAAAAGCGTGCACCAAGGTTTTGAACCTTTATCTCTATCTACGAGTCAATGCCATGCCAGCTGCACAGCGGAGTGACTACTCGGTTCGATAATCTGTGCGATCCAGGGGCTCCGAGGGAAAATAGCACCATAGTTTCGCTCTCAGAATCATCCATGTTCGACTCTCGATGAATCTTGGCATCGCTTTGCATTGATGTTGTAAGACTTTTTTAAAACCTGCTGCCAAGATGTTAAATAAGTTTTTATCAACTTACGTTTCGGCGTAATCGCCTTCTTCAGAGCCTGGAAACCTGTGTTTTATCATTATCCATCCTTCATTCAACAAATAAACTTC